ATTTATCACTAATTTAATGTTGTGTTACCCTCGGTGTTATTTCAACTATCAAGTCTCTCAATAAATAAAAAAACTTAATTACCAATACGTTTCAATAGTCCCATTTACGTTTTAATGTCTCAATTTAGCTTAAATTTGGTCCTAGGTCAAGTAGGACCCCTCAGCAACTGTTTTGCACTTTTTTTTTTAAAAAAAAAAGTTGGTGTTTAAATTCGTGTTCAACTAATCCTTACTCGCCATCAGAGTTAAAGGGGCTGACTTGAAGAAATTTGCATTGCAAAAAAACGAGACTATGACTTAAATCACGATGATTAACCCCAGAAGTGCTTTTATTTTGAACCTTGCTCCTAATCTATAATTATCAAAAGAGCATATGCATGCGATTTGGATACAAGTGGATTTCTTTTATTAGAAACAAAAATATGTTTTGGTGTAGCAACGAAGTAGAAAGGAAGATGCATGGGAAAGCGTAGGAGTGAGAGCATAAAGTTCCACTTCCACAACTTGATGTGTATTAATACTAAATTAATAAAAGTTTATGGTACTAAAATAAAATTAATTAAGTTCTTGGCATTTCAAAAAAAAAAAAAAAAAGATTTTCAAAAAAAAAAAAAAAAAAGTGAGTACATTTAGTCCGAAAAAAAAAAAAAAAAAAGTGAGTACATTTAAGTCCGAAAATCAGAGTTTAGCCTTATTTCAATGACTTTAATGGTCATTAAATATGTATTTTTTAGTATAAAAGTCAAAAATTAAAAAAATATTTACAATCATTCTTTTCCAATTATCTTGAACAAAATAATAAATGCATTCCTCATTATTTATCAACAATTTAAACGACTCCAAATACTAATTGATCATATTAACATATTACTATGGGTATCAGACTATTTTTTACTTTTTAATAACTAATGTTAAATTTAGAATATGTTTTGCAAATAGTTTTTATAGTATGGTTCAACGCTTATTTATTACTCATTCTAATTTGAATCTGAATTTATTATCAGACCGTATGTGCATTTATTATTAGATTATATTTTGATGTGGAACAATTAACAACTATTAGAATAACTAATAGCTATTATCAAAATTAATATTTTTGAAAATTTTATGTTATAATGATGGATGACACTCAAATTATAAAACGGTGGTTTAATAAAATTCATATGTATTATTTTATAACCTATATTAGAAATTTTCTTCTTCTATTTGTCGACTATAAACAGTCAAATGGAAGAATTTAGAGTAATTGGCAAAGGTGAAAATGATGGCACATAAAACTTGAAGTAAAAAAAAAAAAAAAAAAATGAAAAGCATGCGTATGACAAAAAGCCAATTTGACAATCATTTCCGAAATGAACAGTTGGGAAATTATTCCTCTCTGAGTCCAAGTGAAGTAACGAAATGTGATTTGATTTGCGAACTTTCCCAATGAGTTGATTAGATATTTATGCACCCAGGTGCTATATATACATATTGTGTAGTGGGAAGAAAAACAAGTGATTGACATTTGGCATATACATAATTATTATTCTATTTATATATAACAAAGAATTTAGAATTAGAATCTCACGTGTATAATAAATAATAATAAAGGAACCATCTTCCTCGTTTGTAAATGATTCCAAGTGCTAATCATTTTTAAAGTGTAAGGTATGGAATATTTTTCACCAATTAAAGATACCCTAATTGGATAGACCATGAAATTTTAGGACATTAGAGTCTTGAGTGCGGAAAAAAGAAAATTTTAATACTAGTAATAAAATTTTGGAAAATTTATTATTTTATTCTTATAATTTTATTAATATATATGACTTTGCCCTATATTTTAAAAATTCATAATCTTAACCCTATATTTTGTCAATGCGTTCTATTTTATGTCAATTTTTAAAAATTTATTCTTTTGAAGTTTCTCAATTCTTCCTAGCCTAACCAGTGACCATATAGTTTTATATTACATTAAAAATCTACTTAATTATACTACATTATATTTTAACGCAGCTTATCGAAAGGTATTTAAGTGATAATGAGTGTGTATACATAATTCGTTTATAAGGAAGGACGAAAAACATTGAACAACTCTATAATTTTTTTTCCTAATAATAGTTTTGATTTTTTGGACTCCTTTAATGATAATTAATAACAAATTTAGAGAGTTAACATTATGCTTATGATAGCCCTCATTGTATTGAAGCTGATGTTGATTTAGATTTGATGATTGCTTAATAAAACTTCTTTCTTTTCTTCTAAAAAAAGAAGATAAATAAGTGATATGTTCTTATATATATATATATGATTGTGGTAAAAGTCACAGAATCCACGAAAAATGTACAAAATGATAGCTTGAATTGAAGTGAGTTGAGTCCATTCTTTTATAACAGAAAATTGGTTTGGCCCAATCTTTTAGAGGCTTCGAATAGGCCCAAACTAGGATTGTTATTAAATAATACAATATTGTTGTTTTAAATAGGATCTAACTGACATTTTAATTGTAAGTAATAGATTTTAAATTAAAATTAAAAATAAAAAATAATTTCATTAGTCAAATTAATATAACTACTGGTAGTAAAAAAAATTTATGAAGTCAATAAAATTAAAAGTAGTTTTGGATTTATAAAAAACTTTATTTGAAATTGCTAGATTTATTACACAGATAAAATTGTTCAAATTATAAAGGGATACATCTTATCTAGACCAAGTCTATGGATCATCAATAGACCAAGTCTGAAGATATCTTTAAATGTCCGAGTACTTTACTTTACACAAAAAGACAAAATGAAAATTTATCATTGATTTCCATATAACTAATTCCATAAATTAATTTCATTTAAGAATTTCACCTATTTTTGTAGAATGTAATTTAACAATTTTATAATTCTATAAAGGAAAATTGAATCCATATAATTAAAATTTATATTTATTTTTCATTCTAAATATAAAAATATGAATTTCCAGATAAATTCTATAAAATATTGTAGAATTTACTCGTTCCCTTATTCTTTATGTTGAACATAAACTTCAAATTACCTTCCTCCTAAACATTATAAAAAAGGTAAAAAAAAAAAAAAAAAAAAAAATATGTTGAAATCATAACTTTCAAATACCTTCCTCCTAAACATTAATAAAAAAGGTAAAAAAAAAAAAAAAAAAAACTCTATCGCCGTTCAAAACGTACCATTACAGTAAGCATGATTGATCATCAAGGGAAGTACGTTCTAAGGGAACTGAAATTTTGAAGGCTAATAGGACACCGAAGATTGAAGTATTTGCATCTGGTTGGTTGCTGATAGAAGCAAATATATATCGGTCACCAAATTCAAAAAAAAAAAAAAAAAAAAAAAAACTCTATCCCGTTCAAAACGTACCATTACAGTAAGCATGATTGATCATCAAGGGAAGTACGTTCTAAGGACTGAAATTTTGAGGCTATAGACACCAGATTGAAGTATTTGCATCTGGTTGGTTGCTGCATAGAAGCAAATATATATCGGTCACCAATTCAATTTCTTAGAGACTTAAACTGGCTCAGTAATTTATCTTTAGCTCGATATATATGACCTTCCTAGCCTGTTATTCTCGGGATAATGTAGGTTTCCTACAAAGTTAAGTCGTCTTGGTTCATTACTTCTTTTAAATAGATCCTCTGTTAGTTATTGTAATGGGATAAAGGAAATTGAGCTTTCTAGTGCGAAATCTTCTCTACCTTTAATGTATCTGTCGTCTATTGGCTCAAAGAAAAGCTATATTAGTAAATTCTATATTTGTATCCACTAAGATTGACACTGACACGTCATGGATGGACACATCTAATATTTTTTACATGTCAACAATCTTGCCATTATTGTATAACATTGCATCTTTATTTGTAATTTGAAACATGCGACATTTAATTGAAAAATTTTAATAAATATAGACATTTGATTACAAATATTTTTTTGTTAAAACATTAAAATACAAATTTTTGTAAAATTAAGACAATAAATTTATAATTAAGCCAAAAAAAAAAAAGCAAGTATAACTACATAAATTTTATTGATCTGAAATTTATATTGATGGGCTTGAAATGGGCCATTTCCTCTAGTAAAATTGGTGGATAATCTCTGTGTGTTGTAAGCAACAACGCCTTTTGGATAATCAAGATACGAATTTGAAGATCCAACTGTTTTATGAAGCTCATCGGATTTTTTTTATAAGATCAATAAATTCTATTATTTGTATTAATTGAAATTTAAGTAATAAATCTATGGATTGCCGTTCAGTTGATAATATAGGTTGAGTATATGGGAATAACTCTCGAATTCGATTTCAACTAAATACATTTGCAGGAAGGGCAAAAAGCCTTAATTGTTACTAAACCTCAGACCGGATCCTATAATAAAGTTCAAATATCGATAGTCTATACTAAAGAAAAAAAGTTAAGTAATAAAATCATAGCACTTATTTCTTAAAAAAAAGTTTATTCACAATAACTTCATAAATATAAAAAAAAAACTTCTTTTTTTACTATAAGTAGTACAAACATTTGATAATGTTATAATTCACATTAACAATTCATTATTGTCGTCAAAAGAATTTTCAGGAAATTATTTTTTATTTTCTTCAGCATCTTTCTACAATATTAGAGATAATCTATCCAATATAAATAATAATAAACTTATATATATGAATTAAATGTATGAGTTTGTAGAATTTCTGTCCAAAAACTATATAAATCTAAAAATATGAATTGCAGTTTGAAAATTATTGATTGTGAATGTAGTAATATTGTTGAATGTTATTGATTACATACTATTTTTGCATAATATGATTCGTTTGCTTTATTTCAGCGCAATTTAAAAATCATTTATAATAATCAGTAAAAAAAATAAAATGAGTGCAAATAAAAAATAGATGCAATTAACCAAAAATGTAAATATAATACATAGGTCCAAAATTAACCAAGCAAACATTATATTTATTTTTGCAGCGTAATTACCGGGGGAGGTGCGGCCATTCTCGTCCGGCGACAGAACGGAAGGAACAGGAAACGAAAAGAAAAGAAAAGAAAAGAAAAATAAAACAAAACATATAAACAAACCACAAAAATACAAAAAGAAAAGACCCATTGTTCACAGGTCAGCTGCCGCCCTAAAAAAATTGTTGAAACCCTCGTTTTAGCAAAAACCAGATCGATTTTCCCCCGATTTCAACGGGGCGTCTAAGTTTAATCAACGACGTCACAAATCAAATATCCATAATTAGAATTTTTTTCCTCTTATATATCCTTATACTAATTATAATTTTTAGTTTTTATAACAATAATTTCGATCGATTAGTCGATCGATCGATCGATCGGTTGCTTGGAAAATGGAGGGAATGATGAGCAAGCTTAGGAGTTTGGACGCCTATCCGAAAATCAACGAGGACTTCTACAGCCGTACATTCTCCGGCGGTGTTATCACTATCGCCTCTTCTATTGTCATGCTTCTCCTCTTCATCTCTGAGCTCCGTACGTTGAAACACCCTCCTAGGGTTTTATATTCTGTTGTTCTATTAATTTTTATTTGTTTGCTGTTGTTTGTGTAATTAATTGGATCTGAATAGGTCTGCTTGCATTGTTTTATTTGGTATCTTGCTCTGTTTCTTTACTTCAAGGAACTTAAGCTGGACTGGTTTATTGTTGATTTCTAAATTGAGTTAACCATTTCTCATTAGAGTAAGGATGGTGCAAAGGTGTGAGTTTGAGCTATAATTTGTGGAGCTTTATTACTTGTGGTAGCTGGGATTTTATGTTGACCTTTGAGAGATTTCTTTAACGTGGCTAGTTCACACAAGCTTTTGGATAGCGAATATTACTTATAAATGGAAATTGGGTTTAGAACTATACCAATATCATGTAGAGCTATATAATTATAAGTAGAAAAGACAGCATGTGGATTTCGTGAATTAGTTTTCAAGTCGCTCACATTTCAGAGTTAAATTAATCTTTTAACCTTTTTCGTTTGAGGGTAATTGCCACTAAGCAGTTCTTTATGGTTTTGTTTTTGCTGTCTTCAAGGTGAGTAATGGGTTTGCAAAAGAACTATAATCTAATAATCTATATTTTAGAATTTGGATGAATTTAAATTTTTACTACATTCTTTCTCATAGAAGGAGCACAATATTCGAATGATGATTCAGATAACTCAGAATTTAGCTCTTTCTAATCTAAGTGAGGACTAAGAAGCTTGGATTCAAATCTCTAAGTACTTAACATTCTCAGTACTGGTTGGTATTCCTGATACCAGGTTGTGTATTGGGATTATTCTATTTATTACAGTCTATTTTAACTAGACGCTTTTTCTGCAAATGATTGGAAGAAATTTTGAATGAAATTGGCCTTCTTTGAGTGGAGTGGATTAGTACTTAGAGCACTGAGTTTAATTTTAAATTTCTGCTTGTCCCGGGAGGAACCATCTAATTGTATAGAACAGTTAGTTTTCTCTGTTTGACATACTCTTCCACAATTACCAATTTTTTTCTGCTGGGATTTTCGTTAGAAGAAATTCTTTTGGTTCTTAAGACATTTAATATGAACTATATGTGCTTTTATTTATTATGACTAGGCTTGAAGTGTTGTAAAAGATTTTCTTCATTGCATTCTGTAACATGGATTATGACAATTTAAGTGGCCATGAAATTCTCATTTTGATATGATTACACGGACAACACAAAGATGACAAGTAGTTAGTTTAGAGCAGAAATCAAAATATGACTACCACCTACTTCCAAGTTCCAACAAGGCAGTGAAACTAGAACTTCGCTAACTATTTGTGGCTCCGCAAACTCGTGAACCTGAAAATGCTTACAAAAGTTGCTTTTGGGATCATAAATCTAACATATACGAGCCAAGGATCTCCAATTCCATTTTAAATGTGACCTATTGTTATAATATATCCTTACTGTTCCTGCCATCATATCTATTTGAACTTAGCAACTGGGAATTGATTAATGCAATATATAGTAGGTGAATTGATCCCTTTTACTTATTGCTTGCTTTGCTGGTCTAATTGTTTTCTTGATGATGGTTAGCAGTTGCAAGATTATTAATGACAAATAGAGCTTTTATTTGTTTTTGCAACAAAGGGACTGAATTTCTTCTGAATCACAAAATTTTCATCTTTTTGCAGGATTGTATCTCCATGCTGTAACTGAAACAAAGCTTGTAGTTGATACTTCAAGAGGAGAAACTTTGCGCATCAATGTAATGCCTGAATTTAATTTATAACATTTATTAATTTTGGCTTCTAAATTGTGGGAAACTTCTTTACTATTACAACCTGCAAATTTCTCATTTCATTAGACTGTGGTTTTTACGTTGAGTTTTTCACTTGATTTGCTAAATTTAGCAAGCTTAAGATAAAAAAATTTGTTAACCCTCATTAAGTTATAAAATATATCAATTCATTCAATTAGATAATTTTTATTCTTCTATTATGCATGTGATGTTGTTTTCTCAAAGATTTTTTTCATATATGCTGTATATTGTTGCTTCATGTTATCACTAAGTAATTAAATTTTCACCTTTTGATGCCTGAAAGTGCAGTTTGATGTAACTTTTCCAGCCCTACCATGTTCTATTCTCAGCCTTGATGCCATGGACATCAGTGGAGAGCAGCATCTTGATGTCGTATGTATAATAGGACATGATAATCTATATATATATATATATATATATATTAATTAGGCAGTACTCTCTAAATTCATGAACGAGCAGTTAGAAGAGCTATTTCTAATGATTTCTTATATGCCTTTCAGAAACACGATATAATCAAGAAAAGACTGGATTCTCATGGAAATGTAATAGAAGCACGGCAAGATGGTATAGGTGCTCCTAAGGTTAGTAATACAGTGTTGTAGAAAATCTCTGTCGGCAAAATATTTATTCATGATGTTTTGAATTGCGTTCCTGCATTACACCGTCATGTATTTTATTTGATACTTGTAGTGGAAAAGCATGCATTTTCCATATAAGACTTGTCTAATTGTAAATTCTTGATTTGTCACTGTAAGAGAGTGGGATTATGTCCAAAACCATGGACTTATTAATTTCCAGCACTAGGGTTAATCTTGAATTATGATTGAAAAGAGAGTTAGTGATCTATCTCACTCAAGGCTAAACTCTTCTCTGCTCAAGCCTAGGGGTATATTAATTTGTTGTGGCTAATGTTAGAAACAGAGATATAATTAAGAATGAAAATAAAAAGTTATTAGAAAGAACCAATTTGATAAGTCATTTGACAAAATGGAAGTTAAGCAGTGGCTGTGGAAGAAGTAGCTAACAGTAAATTTTCTGTCTAATATTTTGCTTATACTTCTAGTATATTGTGTTCTAAATCAAAAGAAATAGTCCATTGATCCCATTGGTAGATATTTAAACTATAGATAATTGATTGATTTCATCAGTTTATGTTTTGCCTATGAGCGTATCATCTTCAGATTTAATGTATTTTACGAGCTGCCGAGAGAAAATTTGAGATTTTTAGTTTAACAGGCCGGTTTCTTTTCGAAAGAATATCTGTTTTTGATCTTTGGCAAATATGTATAAATTCAATCCTTGTACTCATCATAGAAGTTCTCATCTATTTCTTTCTTTTGTGGCTGTAGTCACTTTTGTTTGTTTTAACATATAGACTCGAGTAACTCTTATTTTTGTCTCTCCCTCCTCTGTTTCTACTTTGTATAGATTGACAAGCCTTTGCAGAGACATGGTGGCAGGCTTGAGCATAATGAGACATATTGTGGTTCCTGTTATGGTGCTGAAGCGGTAAGTTATTTGTCTACCATTGCTATGGAAAATAACAATATGACGCCTTTACCAAACTGTTTAACTGCATGGATGCCATCCATATACCAAGCATTGTAACAAGTTTCATTCACCTCTCTGTTTGTTTGTGTGTGCATGTGCATCGAAATATTATCGATCTTTGTTGTTGCAGTTTGCATTTTATTACGGCCATGCCTGCTTTGAGGGGCCCTCTTAGGATAGTTTTAATCCACTCTCTTATTGTCAATAAAAATCACATTGTGATTATACTCTCTATTTTATTCATGGTTTTATTTACTGATTTCTTGTACGTTGCAGTCAGATGAAGATTGTTGTAATAATTGTGAGGAAGTTCGTGAAGCATATCGAAAGAAAGGTTGGGCGCTGTCAAATCCAGACCTGATTGACCAGGTCTGTCAGCTTTTTATTTTAATTTTTCTATAATAATGCAACTTTTAGACTGTATACGTGGTTAAGCAACTCTGACATTTTATTCAGGAGAACATGATTGGATCAATGGGGTAAATATTACAGTGTTTTGAGTACTATTATGGTACCTTCATTTGTCTTACATTAGAAATTGATGATGCATAGATGGAAAAATGTGTTCCAGACATCCATCAGGACCATCAGAATGTATTAGCCATGTTTACGTATGTTCAATGGACTGAGACGTTCTCTTCGTTCAAGCTCTTGATTCTCTACTTAACTTTGGTGTGTCTGTGAGGATTACTCATTTATTCCTCCACTAGTTTTTTTGACTATTGAAACGCAAGGATTAGGATATATCGATATATTGTTTGATGGTGATCAAATATTTTCAGGAAAATATTGGTTTTCATCACATTGAGTACGAATTGGCGAGAAGAATAGGATACTCCATCCTTTTGAGCCTCATCGCATATAATATAATATAGCATATTGCCATGTATTAATTGCTGTTTCTGTTTTATATTTGGTGTTCAGTGCAAAAGGGAAGGTTTTTTACAGAGGATTAAAGATGAAGAAGGTGAAGGGTGCAACATCTATGGATTCTTGGAAGTTAATAAGGTGGCCGGTAATTTTCACTTTGCACCTGGCAAAAGTTTTCAACAATCAAATGTTCATGTGCATGATCTGCTGGCGTTTCAAAAGGACAGTTTTAATGTAAGAATTTCTATGCTTTTGACCTACCAGGAAACAGTCTTCAATGAAGTGAAATCTGCAGTATACAATAATCTAGCTGTTAACTTTTACTCATGACACTCATTTGTAAATGTGATACAGATAAGTCACAAAATTAATAGGCTCACTTTCGGAGAATATTTTCCTGGTGTTGTAAATCCTCTTGATGGGTAATTCTCTTTTCCTTCCAACCTGGTGCTTGACACCTGAAATTTTTTTCTTCTTAACCTTATATAACATTTTATTATTGGAGGGCTCTAAATTTTCTTTTAAATGTTCAGCGTGCATTGGACACAAGAAACTCCAAGTGGGATGTACCAGTATTTTCTCAAGGTTAATGCCCTAGATTAATGCATCTGTTGCTACTTTTTATCACTTCCCCATCCAATTTGGTCAAGTAATTGAGGAAATTTGATAAAATCCTCGGTATATTCTCTTAATTGGATCATTACTTTGCAGGTTGTACCTACTGTATACACAGATGTCAGTGGGCACACTATCCAGTCAAATCAGGTGCGGGGCACTCTGTATGTCATTCTTTTATATATTATATTTGAATCGAATCTGACATATTGGCATTTTTCTTTTCCCAGTTTTCCGTGACCGAACATTTCAGGAGTGCAGAGGCAGGCCGTCTGCAAGCCCTTCCTGGAGTTTTCTTCTTTTATGACCTTTCTCCAATTAAGGTGGTTTCCTCACTATGCAACTGAACAAGTTCTAATTAAAGCATCTGTACTGCTGAGTCACTGTTGAAACTTTCTGCTTGATTGTAGGGATTCTTTAGTCTCATTTTTTCATATTTCTTTGCATTTCCCAGGTGACTTTCACAGAGCAGCATGTATCATTCTTGCACTTCCTAACAAATGTGTGCGCTATTGTTGGAGGTATTGAACCTTCTCCCTAAATTGTCGCATCATCATTTTTCTTAGCATGCTCAAATTTTCTCTCTGTTTTCCTTTTTGATTTGCTTTCATCAATTCCTATATGGACCATATCCACTTACCTAGCTTGATAGACACTACTAGTCTTCAAAAAGTTAGTTTCCTATTTTGGACAAATTCTTTTAGCACATGTGTGACTGACAGATAGGGTATGGTACTAATCCATTTGCCTCGGTTTTATTGTCCGACTTCTATAGCTATTTTCATTATCACTTGATCTCAAGTACAAGTAGTTGCTTATAAACTTCATGTATGAGATATTATACTTGTTTTGTATGGTTTTGGAACACCCTGTTCAAGTCAATTTCCTTTTATATAAAACTTGTGTAAACAAAACCTTGCTTATAAACCTTGTATATTGATTGGACGTGTCAGTTATGGCTAATCATTCTTGTGCTTAGGTGTTTTCACTGTTTCGGGAATACTGGATTCATTTATATATCACGGTCAAAAGGCAATCAAGAAGAAGATGGAAATTGGTAAATTTAGTTGATAAAATATCTGGTTGGCCTGGTTGTTGCCGCATCTTGTTGGCTTAGTAAATGGAATCTCAAATGGAACTTGGTTGGATGACTGCATTTTGAATTAGCCAGCTTCTTTGGATCACAGCTAACGTTTGTCATGATTCATGATGTATGTTAAATGAATTAGATTTATTTTATAGTTCATTTTATATGTGCGGTGAAATGCCTGTTAGCCGTCACTGTCTCTTTCTGGTCAAATGTAATATGGATATATCCGTGAGGGGCGGCTTTTCATTGTGGTTTTAGCTGAGAACTCGAAGAATTCTTGGTGAGAATGGAGAAACAATCAATGAGTTTTGTCTAATGGTTTTGCTTTTCATTTCCGTTGGGTGAATGGGTCCAGTTGCTTGGTAATATGGAATATCCGTGAGGGCGGCTTTCATTGTGGTTTTTAGCTGAGTAATTTAGCTGAGAACTCGAAGAATTCTTGGTGAGAATGGAGAAACAATCAATGAGTTTTGTCTAATGGTTTTGCTTTTCATTTCCGTTGGGTGAATGGGTCCAGTTGCTTGGGCGTTTAGGCCCTGTTCAGTTCAAGATAGCCTATTTTTTAAGTACACTGTTCGGAGATTATGGTTTGAACTTATTAGCCCAATTACTCTGGCAGATTTTATACAAACGAAATTAGAGAAATAAAAAAGAATAGGTTAATTTTAAAAAAAATAAATAAACAAGGTCGGTTTTGGGCAAGTATTCTAAAATGAATTTTAATTGATTTATAGACAGTCAGTTTTGATTTAAAGTTTAAACCAATAATTTCGATTTGGTTTTAATAAATCTAGTAGTTCGAAATGAATCAGTGGCCATACCGTAAAAGATCGAGTCCAATATGGTGCATGGTTTTTGTCTCCTATACATCGGAAACCAAAAGCCCAAAACAATTCCTTAAATGGGCCCTCCAAAAATAATAAAAACTATATAAGGTGCTCATCAAGCATGGAAATACCCTAACTGTTGAGGTCTAGTCCAATATTAAGTCATTATTTATTAACCCATGTATTCTACTCTGTTATGTCGGGTTCAACCATCAAGTTTCATCTTTTAATTCACCGATTTTTTTTTTTTTTTTTTAAATGTTAAAATTAGAAAACAGTGTTGTTGAAATCACCGATTTTTTTTTTTTTTTTTAAATGTTAAAATTAGACAGGTTGTTGAATCAGTTGGCTAATTAGTTCATTGGACGAATATATTAAATTCGTTCGGTTCCATAGAAAAAACGAGTCAACTCAAGTGAGCTATTTTGTTGACTTTGTAATTTAACCAATCTAACTAAATTGGTGCCTTAGCTTAACAAAAATATGAGGTCACTTCTGGGTTAAAGCCTTTAAGTTGAGCGAGCGGGACCGTAAAAGAAAGCAAAGCGATTATAATAATAATAATAATAATAATAAAGGATTCTTTGGTAAAATCCAGTTTTCTGCCTTTAGCAAAAAAGCATTCCATTTACACATCTTTTTGACATCTTATCAAAGTTGTTTAGGAAGAATTGCATTTTAGGAATAAAGAATTGAATAAATACCCAAAAAGAAAAAAAGAGAAGACAGAATGTAGATTTACTAAGCTTTGATAATATTGGATTCTTTAATGACCTTTTTAGGATCTCTCCTCTTTTCTTACATTGGTGTGAACACCTTTTTTTTTTTTTTAAATTTCCCTTTGCATTAAACGTGAAGAAAGAATAAGAATAAACAGAGTCTACTGTCTGCTCATCTCTCAAAATCGTCATTTGGTTCTATTTTTTGTTCTATTTGCTTATAAAAGTGGGAGACAAGATAAAAAAAAAGTGACACGAAATTGTTAATTCAAGCCCCCAAGATAAAATTCAGTCATCCTTTTAGATTGTGTTCAGCTTGAGAATAATATCAGATGTTAAACAATCTAATTTAACATATGATGCATAATCGAGATGGCCAAGACTGATGCTCTGAGATCTTTTGTTCTCGATTCTAAATTCTTTCATTATTTAATTTGTATTTGGTGTCGGCGCTTATACATTTTTCTTAATTATAATTGTGTAAGTATATTTTTATTCATAACATCATCATGTGACTGTAATCTCGAATGTGATTCATTGCATTTGGATATATCTAAACGAGACATTGGTTAGGGTTTTATTTTTGATGTTGGGAAAGGTTAAAAAGGAACAAGACAACATTAAAATCCTTGTCCGAAGAACAAACCTCGACAACTTTCTGGTTATAAAACTGCGGGAAGTCATGTGACTACAATGTCTTTTTTGCCATTACAATAAAAAGATTGTCAAAAAGTTGTTTGGCTTCGAGGATATGTTATCCTGGTCATTGCTTGATTCAGGCGTGCTTTAACAACAGAACTACTAATCAATTGCAATTAAGAAACATAAGCAGTGTTTGGAAATTTGCAATTGCTTCTTTTAGAAAGCCTTAATCCAATGCAACTTCTTTTTGAAAATTAATGACTAAATACACTGAATAATAGTAACTTTAAAACAGTAATTAACATAATTACATTTACAATTTATAGAATAGATTAGTTTCTCATCATTATTTTGATTGATTTAGTTAAATTTAGTCCTAAAACAAACAAAAATCCTTATCAGCTCCTTATCCTCCCATTATGATAGATTGGTCATTGATGATTTAAATTAAATTAGTGGTTGTGTTGTCCTTGTTATGACCCATAAAGCACACACTTTTTGAATTTTTAGCATGTGCTTCATTTGTAATGGAGTTCTGTTGTTAAAAAAGTGTTCTTTTGCACCTATTTTTATTTAATAAAACCTGAAAAGAAAATACTAACATGTATCGTGGAAGACAAGTGTTTTTCTTATTATTTCATTTATTCCGAAATATGAATTGTCTAAAGTTTTTATATGAAAATTGAGAAATCAATTAATTTTCTTGAATTACAATAAAAATTATGAGTTATTTCAAAATCAAGAGTAATCTGTGAAGATAGTTATTATATTTAATGTAATGGAAGTTAATATTGGAAAAACATCACTCGTCGCTCCTTGAAATACTCATGGAAGGAGCTGATATTTACTGAGAGAGTCGTACTTTACCTCTTAGCAAGCTTTAGTTCTAGTTTAATAAGCCGGAAGGAGTACCAAAAAAGAAAAAAAATATATATTTAAAATGATTTATATTTATATTTTGAGATAAAATAATCAATAAAAATAACTTATATTTGGGACATCGGAAGCAATATGTAGACTTGGCAAAAAATATATATTTAAAATGATTTATATTTATATTTTGAGATAAAATAATTAATAAAAATAACTTATATTTGGGACATAGGAAGCAATATGTAGACTTGGCAAGATAGATGAACTCAATGCAAAACTGAAATATTTGAGATCCCTACCAGGCAACGCAGAATTTGGGCAATGGGTGTAATCAATTCTAGTTTCCCATAATTGAATCATATGATTCAACCATCAATTTTTTGGCTCTTAATAGCTAAAAATGGCTAGCAACAAGTCTTGAGATCAGATTTTATAAATTAAAAAAAAAAAAAGATTTGGATGATCTTCATGAGAGGCTGAAAGATAATATCCATACATGGTCGAGAACTATGAATTTGGATCTCTTAGAATTGATCCTTTCAATGCCTTATCAGAGAAATACCCATCCCATAGGAACCAGCCAAAAAATCAATTCCACATGCACATGCCATTGTCTGTCCACCTCAAATTGGACTAACCGTTCTTCCGGCTGTTAATTACATAAGAGGCAATGTTTGGATAGAAATTTTTTAACCAATGAAACGAAATAATCTGATTTAGGTTTATAGAATCTCTTTGAATAGCATTCTAAAGTAAAATCAAACAAAATTATTTAAATTGGCAGAGCATCTTTCTGTTCTTGCACAAAAGGCTCAATGATTCAAGTTGACGAAAGATCTTCACTGAATTGAACAAATTCAAAAATAAAAAATATGAAAAGAAATAGTAATTACTAACAATAATAGAATACAATTACATGACTAATTGACTACTATGGACACCAATAACAACTGGTACAAATTAACCATGGTTAGGCAAGAACAAAAAAACCAGCTAACCATGGTCCTAGATTTACATCATATCAACATTATTTACCTAATAGTACAACACTTGAAAAGACCACTACAACCTTTGGCTCTGCAACTGCCAAAAACTCCATTGCAGCAACCACACGCCTAAGAACTAAACATAACTGCAAAATAAAGATAAAAGATAAATAACATAACATAACCAAATCTAAGAAGATAAAAGAGAAGCCCAATCAATTTCATAAGATGGGTACTTCTCCAAATTAAAATTTCCAGAATCAACATCCAATGGTGCCTCTTCTAGATCCGGAAACGTAAGATCCGACAACGGTGAAGATCCGCCAGAGGCTTCACTTTCTGTCAACACTGACGATGGTGTCTCGACCTTGCAACACTTGTCCGGAACAACCTGTTGCGGTGCCTTAGCTTCCTTAACCTTCTCCGCCGTCGCTGGAGTAGTCCCCACCGAAGTCTTCTTTTTCGCTGACGAGTTTGATTGCTTCTCTGCTTTTCCTCCTTGTTTCTGCGATTCTGCTAAGCTTTGACAAATAGCTTGCAGTTTCGCATCGACCGAGGAATGGAGAGGCTTATACTCGCCGAAGCTGCCTTCAATGTGGGACCCTTGGTGGCGGAGGTTAGGGAAGTTAAGTCTCGCGAAGTCGCCACGGAGTTTGTACGCCGCTTTGTCATAAGCTAAAGCGGCTTCTTCTGCTGTGTCAAAAGTACCAAGCCAGAGTCGTGTACGGTTCTTGGGTAGTCGGATCTCGGCAACCCATTTGCCCCAATGTCGCTGCCTTACTCCTCTGTAGAGCTTAGTGGGTTTTGGTGGTGAACCCACCTGCTTCATGGGCACGGGTTTCGGACCTAAAAAGTTAAGGCCATGTTGGTTTTGGGTGTGGAAATTCTGGAAATTGAATCCATTTTGATTCTGGTAATGGATTTGGGTCTGGATCTGGTGGATCTGGGTTGGAGTAAGATGATTAAGCCCGATTGAACTAGTAGGTTGCTGAAGACGGTTGGGGTCATGGATCGAGAACCCATTTGAAAATGGAAGGGCAGTCGATGTGGAGCAACCATCTGAGTACAAAAAGGATAGGTTCTGTTGAGGAAAAGAAACTAAAGGAGAGGAAGAAGGAGAAGGAGAGAAAGAAAGATAATTATAAGATGTAGAAGGAAGAGGAGGCAAAGAAGAAGAAGAAATAGAAGGTGTTGCAGAGGGAGAAGGTATAGTTGAAGAAGTAGCACTTTTCATAAAAGGTTCAAGTGCTTCCATTAGCTCACCTCCAAAGAGGTCAGACTGAACATGTCTACTACTGTAGAAATCCATTGTAGTTGCCATGTTTTCCTCTGAAGCTATAAATTTTCAACTAAAAATTCAAAATTAAACAAAATAAAGTAAAAATAAAAAGAACCTGTTGCTCGACCAAATTTATAATAACAGGTTTTTGCTAAAACAAAGATCAAAGAGGATTAGAAATACACACCCTTTTTGATTCAAAAACCTAAAAAACAACTTCAAGGGACCAAAAAACAACCCTTCAAGCTGATTCAACTAAGAACCAAAAAAAAAAAAATCAAAAAAGAAAAATATTTAGAAACCTGGATCTCGTTTCTGAAAACACCTGGCTTTCTAGAAATCCTTCTTTAAGTTTGCTTTCTACTCTTTCTTTTTGTTAAATCTCAAAAACAAACCCAAAAAATCAGAACTCGAAAGACAGATGATTAACAGAAAGGGATTCAGAGAAGCGGGGAGTAACAGAAGGGGGAGATTAACAAATTCAAATTATAAAACAATCAGAAAATAAGCAGTCACCAAAATCTCTCTCTCTCTCTCTCTCTCACTTTTTTTCTCTCAGTTTTTGTGTGGAGGTGAAGAACTCACAGTCTCTCTTTGTTTTCTCACATCAGCTCTCTTCCCGTTATATAAAGACAGTGGAGGGCCTTAATTATCTCAATTTAGCACTGGCGTTAATTACAATTTTCTGTTTAATTAATTATTTTTAATGACTCTCTCCTCCTCCTGCTCAGCTAGTTCTATTCATGACGTGTTACTTATTCAATCCATGGAAATTAACCGATAGGTAGCTGACACGTGCACTCGAGTCGTGCTCATCTATTGACACGTAACCTACACTTACCGTCAACTGGCATTGGGTTGCAGTTGGCATTGCTTAATTTTATCTCTTAATCTTGTTGACCTGGTTGTATGCTTTCACATTTTCTTTTTGGAGGTTACTGCCAAATATCCTTGTCATATAACTATTTCTCCATTTTTTTTATACGGTGCTTATAATTAATAAAACATTATTAATTAAAACAAAATTTTTAAAAACAATTAATTTAATATCTTTTTCAGTTTTAAAATTTTAAAATATTATGCATATATTGCAAAATACTAATTTTATATTTTAATATAATAAACTTTCATTTAGTTCTATATAATTGCATATCATATATATACATTTTATTCTAATCTTTTGATTTGATTGCGAAGCTCGATGAGTTAAATTAACATTGGACTTAGGCTACACAACAAGGGATAACATTTAGGATATAGAAGATGTAATGTTTTGAAATTTGACTCTAGAGACTGTCAGTTTGACTTTTCAATTTAAATTATTGTCCGTTTGAGTTTATTTTTACTTTTATACCCTTTTTTATTTTGTTAGGCGTTAATTTGTTAGTAAATCAGTGTTTTAATTGCTTTGTGTTTCCTTTTCTATTAATTTTCTATTTTAATTATCAGAGTTTTAATTGTTTAGTGTTTTCTTTTGTAGTAATTTCCTAGTTTAATGCTTGTTTCCTTTTTTTCTCAATTTATGCTTTTCTATTTTCCGTTTCTTCGTTCTCAGCCGACTCTCATCTTCTATTTTTCGTTTCTCTTCTTTGATTTTATTTTTGTGTAAACGTATCAGCGACTTAATTTTTGTCAAAAAAACTGACACCACCATAGATATTGTTTATGCTATATAGGGACAAGATAAGATTTTCAATTATGTTTGGATTGATACTAATACAATATATATATATACCGTATTTAATTGTTTGATCTAATGTATTAACTTGTGTGTGTGTGTATATATATATAATTGATTTTACAGTATTTACTGATACAGTATATATATATCGTATTTACTTAGTTTAATCAAATGTGTTAATTGTTGTATTTATAACTATATTGTATTTAATTAATTTTACGGTGTTTACTGATACAGTATTTGTATAAAATATTGTATTTATTAATGCAATATATACACCATGTACATCCTATTTACCGTTATTATTGTTATCGTCGCCGGTCGTTATCTTTGTTATTAAATCACATAAGTTGTATAGGGATTTACTACAGATTTGTGTTTCATTTTTTTTTTTAGGGTTTCACTACAGATTTGTGTTTCATTTTTTTTAGGGTTACTCACACATTTTATTTTAACCGTTTAGCGTCGTGTTTTTTGAGGTTATTTTGGGTATTTTTGTTTTATTTTTTACCAAATCTATTAGTTTGTTAATATTTGATATTTTATGACATTTAGTTAAAAGTGAAACCTTGAATATGACATTTGCCTAAAAGCCAAAACATTTATTTAACTCAAACTCAAACATAAATCTCTTAATATTTACAAGAGTCTGAAGACTAACTAGAACATATAAATGAGAAAATATTAACTAGAATAACTTTAAATATTTTAAGTTAATGAAAAAAAAATAGTACACACGTTTTAACGAAAGTTTTATATATTTAAATGGGTATAAGATGTAAAGATTACTAAATTAACTTTATATTCAGTAATTCTTTAAAAAAAAAAAAACTTTATACTTAGTATTCGAAGCTCGTTGGTCCGACTAATCTGAATTTAGATCGGAAAAGTTCACAAATGAGGCAAAACACTCTCTAAATATTTAAAAAGACTTCATACTCAATGTTCAAACTCGAGACTTTTATTTAAAGAAGAAAGAATCTTTACCATCTCATCTCACAGTTGAGATTTACTAAATTAATTTTTAAAACTGAAGAACTAAATAATATTATTATACTTTTTCTTATTTCCAAAGGTTTCCCCCTATCCCTTTTTATATTTGCACGCTCAAGCTACTTTGCTTAAAATAACGATGGAGATAATTTAAATATAAGAAGATGGAAATTTTAATTTAAGTGAGAATACAGTTGAGAAAACGGTTGTGACGTTATTAAATTGGTTGCCATTGGCAGCTTCCTTCACGTTTCATTTATGATTACATAATGATTTTGACTAATTTTAAGAGTTTTTTATTTTTAAATTGATGATAGAAAATGATAGCCCAAACCATTATTGTGTAACTGTATCATGGGCGTGCAATTATGGTCCATTGAGGTTTTAATAATTTTTACATTTAAAATTCTTTAAAAATAGAAAAATATATCTATATGGATATGATTAAGTTGTGTGATTTTTTTTTTCGATGTCAAATAAAAAAAAGTAATTTTCACTTCTTATTTGTCGAAATATATAATTCATAAAATATAAAATATAAACGGTAATAAAAAAAATAGAAGCCCCAGTTAACGACCACGAGTAGCAATTTTTTTGAAATTTTAATAAAAATCCAGTAATTTTTGAGTTGATTTTAAAAATATTAATTGTGGGTTACTCAACAGAAACAACACACTTAAAAATGATTGGAGCATTAATAAGCTTAATCTGACGATGAGTTCTCTGAAAATGATGTTGTTTTGAATTTCCTGAGCCGAATTAGGAACCACTTTGCATATGGCTTTAGCCAAAAGATGAGTAGTGTCAGCAATTTTTTTTCTTGCTTGGATTTAATTTTATACTGTAACCATCTTTTTATTTCAAGAAGAAATACACAATAATGTATTGTTTTATCAGATTTTTTTACATAATATTACCGAGTTAAATATTTTTATGTATAAAAAACGTACTGGTTTGAGTGTAGATGCTTGATTCTTTTAAGATTTCCTTATAAATAATAAAAAATAGGAAAAAAAATTACTGCTGATAAAAAAGTAGAAGCCCATATTATAAAAATAAAATTGATATATAAAAATTGTAATATCCTGGACACCGAGAGGTAGTATGTCTGAATCTAGTAACTTAATTTCATTAGTGTCTGAGACAATTATAATTATTTGTGTGGTCCTAAATAGCATATTTTTGTTTTTGTTCAAAATAATATTATATAAAGAGGTACGCATTAGCCATTTTTGAAATATTATTTTGAAATCTGAAAGTGGCGTATGGAGACGGAATCCTCGTAAATCATATGCTTCTAATTATATTATTTTCCTTTTATAATATTTGTCGCATTTAAGAAAATAATTTGTTTCAAAGTACTTGTCATATCTAATTTTTTATACATGTCTAATAGTTATTATTTCAATTTAATGGTTTTTTTAAATAATTAGTATTAAATTGAGAGTAATATAGTCAATTTATTCAATAATTTATTGCAATTTAAGACAAATTTAATGATTTTCTTAAGAGACATAAAATTCTAAATGTAATAAATGTTATGGAATAGAGATAATAGTAATTATCTTGTGAATATTTCATGAACAGCAATTTACCAAATCCAATCCAAAAAAAAAAATGAATAACCCAAATCAAATGTATTAAGGTGATCATCAAGAGTAGTTTTGATTAATTTGATTGATTAATTAATAAATGCTATAATTAATAATAATTTTTTTTTAAAAAATAAGTAATAATTAATTTTTCTTTACCCCCAAGGAATCAGAAAATTCTAGCATAAAAGATGAAAAATAGATAAAAAAAACATATCCATTTTTCTATTTGTCTGGTAACAAAAAAATAATGTCCATCCAATGTGGTCACTGAATTGATGACAAACTTTAATGTGATTAGTTATCTAAGTGAAAGAACCGGTCAAATCATACTTAATTAGTTAATTGATACTTTTTTAATGGATATTTTATTTTTATTGAATTGCAGTTTTAAATTTTTAACTTGTGTCTGTTCTGAGTTATATTGAGGATCATTCACTATATATAATTTTTCTAGTATTTGACATTAGCACAATGCAAGGGAAAAAAAAAAAAAAGAAAAGAAAAAAAAAATATAGGAGAGTTATTTTTCTCATCCACTTTACTCCTTCCAACCAAACAGCATCCAAAACAAGTGATTAACAAAGCTTACATCACAGTACATACAGAAATCTCTTAACCAATCTTAGCAATAACATCATTCAGAGTAGATACAGTCTCGGCATAATATTTCTCTGCTTCTGAGCTGTTCTTAATTTTGGCTGCATGGTCCAGCTGAAAAAAAAAATAATAATAAAAATTTCCATCATCTGGGCAACATTCTTTGCATAATCAAACTAAAAAATGAACCCAAAAACAAACACGCATTTTATAACTTTTACCTCACTAATATTTGCAAAGAGCTTTCCAGAGAGTTCTTGGAGGGATTTTTTCTCCTCTTTAGGTTTCCCAGCGATAACGGTCTTCAGGTCATAACGAAGATACTCCGCCCTGAGGCGAAGATCATTTATGACATAAGGCCAAGCCTTCTTGTCTATGTATTGCTTCACTCCCACGATTTCCTTAGCTGATTCCTTGGCCCTTGCAGCTGCCTCAGCTGGTGTTCGTGGTTGCAGGAAAAACCTATCCTTCAATGGCAAATCCAGATCTCTTGCCTCATCGGAGTTTAGGGTTCCAGCTGCAATTTTACAAATTTTTGGGATTATCGTTGCTATTTGCAAATGTCACGTACCAAGTAAAGAAACTAATTATGCGAGTGGAAGAGAATGATGAACTTACGCAGTCCACCGGAGGGAGGGGGAGGTGGGCCAACCTTGATGGGGATAGCATCAGCAAGCACAGCTTGAACAAAAGACCCAGAAGCCAAACCAGCAGCAACAAGACCCAGCGCAGCTCGGCGGCTAGTTTCAGGTTCTGCTTGCTGCTGGGAAACAACAGTGAAATTTGGCTTGACCATAACTGTCCGTATGTTTCTAGCAACGTTCAACCGAGTTGAGCCACTGAGTTGGAGGCTGCCTTCAAGGACAGCTTGAGAATTGCCACGTAGGCCAGCCATTGAAGCCATTGCTTGTGCCATTTCCTTCCCCAAGTTTTTGATTCTCAGGTAATGGAATAAGGTAGATTTATGGAATTATATTTTTTGTAATTGCCAGACTGGATCGGATAGTTTGTTTTCACAAGTTCGCTTAGCGTTTTTGTGATGTAGATTGGTTCTGGGCAAACACCTTATCTGCCATTACTTGGATAAAATGGATATGCTATTTCACCAATCATTCTTTAACATTTGTTATTCTATTTGACACGTAGGATTAGCCATTTTCATGGTATTGTAGAGTCATGACACGTGGCTCCAGGTAGACTTATCACAATCGAAGGGTGCAGTTCAATTGGCAATTTTTCCTACTTGCACCTCTTTCTATAAAAAACCTTCTCTCTGTCTCTCTTCTAGACTGAGAGGAAAAGCTCATCAAAAGAAGAGGAAGAAGAAAAAGAAGGAAATGGGAACTGATTTCTATAATCTGCCTCATTTCCTTCTTTTACTTTGCTTCCTTTGGATCTGGAGAGCCACTGATAAGCTTCAACCATTTAATTCGTTTTCAGCTTTCTTCTCTACTTTCCATAATCAGAATTGGTTTTAACACAGATTTCAATTATCAGATTTCAAAATATAGAAAATATTTGAATTTGATAAAAAGATGTATAATTTTTCCTTAAGAATCAAAATCGCTTAGATGCTTAAAATTGAAATTTCAGTTATTCCACTCAAAACAACGATAGAAAGGAAGAGGAACGTTGAAGGTTTACCATAATTAAGTAAATAACACTGCAATAATTATCTAATCAAACATATTCTCTGCGAGCATCCAATCCCACATTTAAAATAAATAAGTTCATATTTAAAGCGCGACAAAAAAAACAGTTCTGACACATATGTATCAAAGTAATCACCAACAACGGTTTTGATTAATTGGACTAATAAATTAATCAGTATTACAATTAAATATAGTAATAATCAATTATTCTTTACCTACTAGGAATGAGAAAAATCCAATAGAAAAAGATGAAAAGTGTAACCTTTTTTTTTTAAGTTTTTCTGATAATTAAAAAGAAAGAATGTAAAGCAAAGTAGCAACTAGCAAACCAAAGAAAATTCTAAAATTTGTTACTTTACATTTTTTGCAATTTCAAAGCTAGTTTAGATGATAAGTGATATTTTTTTTTTTTATCAATCAAATCTTTTTTTTTTAATTATTAGTGATTGGAATAGATTATTAATTTGTACCAAGCTAGTCTAAGAATTGAGCAACATTAGAGCCGAGCAGCGTTTATATTCATTTGAATAAAATAACATTCAGTCAATAGAATTATTAAAAATCATTAATTACCAAGATTTTTATTCGGTATTCACAGTTAAGATTCTTAGCATGAATGTATACAGTCTTAGCATAAATGTATACAGTCAATTACAATTCGAGATGTGTATGAAAACCTATGAAGGGCATCTCATCAACACACAAAAAGCAATCTTGGCACTTCTCTATAATTTTCTTGGTTAACCCGTATCAAATTAGTTAGTATTGAGAAAAAAATTTAATATGACAAATATCTTGGTGGTAGATTACATGTAAAGATTTTTTTAATTCAAAAAAATTAATTAGATTAATTATTTTAATTCAATAATATTAACATATTTTTAAAATTGGCATATTACGAAAATTTCAACCACAACAGAAGCTAAATTATTCAGAATAAAGAACATTCAATAGATTAATGTTTAAACCAAAATCTAATCCTTTCCTCTTCCACGATCTAAACCAATAGTTAGTTTAGGTAAGAAATGTGCACCCAAGTCTGCTTATGCCGAACAGCTGTACCAGGAAATTATAGCAGCCGTTACATATCGAAATTAACCTGATATGAGTTTTTACGTCATCATTTATGTATCCAACGGTTAATATTCTGCTTATTGCAATGCTGATGTCATAAATAGACCGATGAGAACAACAGGCCATGCGGCCGAAATCAGAGTTAGTGATAGATTGATAGCGCATATAGAGGTGCATGAATCTAACTTGACCGTGGTTAATTTTTGATGGACCGGGGTTTAGTTACCGCGTAGAAATCGGCGCAGATGCGGTGCGAGTGGAATGAGCACTTTAATTGCGGCGCCAGTAGGTGGAGTGTGGAGAGAGCATCTTGGACTTTTCGCAGTCAATTTCACAGTCTTGACCCACTCTCGACTGTCTAATAGTGCTGATTCGCATGCCCGGTTATTTTCGAGTGAATTGAGCAAATGTAATCAGTTTTAATACAAGGTCTACACCATGGTTTATTTGAATAGAGAGTTTTGTTTGAGCACCACGCTCCACATAATAGCGTGGGATTTATTTATTCTTCAAAGGAATTGGGTGGGATTTATTAGTCGGGGGATAAAGAGTGAATGACCAAATGAAGCACATGGAGCGTTGGTTCACCAAAATTGGGGAAGTGAGAAGAGAGAATCCTAGAATGAATCTCGGGTTGTGTCGGTGAAGACCCAGGCCCGAACACACGTGCTGCGGATGCTCCAGGTACAATCTGTATCGGGCCATAATTTTGAAATTGTATTGAATTGATCCATAAGGAAGATTACTTACTTGCTTATATAATTGAAAAGAGAAATTGTCTCCGGCTCTTTGGTAAGCCTAAGGACTAGTATAATATAATCGCAAAGAAGGTAATAATAATAATAATAATAAAAAAAAAACAAATAGTAGCAAAGGAGCATTTATGAAATTATGGGGTTTGCAGTTTCATTGCACCTTCCTCGCGATCCCTTTCAAAATAATTGGCTCTTTTTAGTTGACCAAAATAAACTTTTTAGTTGCAATATTGTGAAGGAATATATTTCCCTTTTTTTTTTACCCGTTTGTTTTTTAAAATAATATATATTGTTAGATCTTTTTGGTATCCGGAGTATTTAGAAAACCTAATCAATGAAAACATTTTCATAGTGAAACAAAAAATTAAATCATTTTAAAGATAAATTACTTTTAAATTTCAAAAAGAAAAATATTTTCACAATTTTAATAAATTTATTATGATATTATAAATGCACATTTATTAATTTACTAGTAACCACCGCTACTTACCACTATCAACAATATACTTAATTTTTATGTAATTTCTTATATTTAATAATACATTTTTAAAGTATAAAATTTATATAATTCTAAATATTATTATAATTTATAAATTAAAATTTCTAATATTTTAAATTAATTTTTAATAATACAATCAAACAACAAAAAAATAAATTACTTTGAAAAATATTTTTCAATGAAAGCATTTTCTTTAAAAAATAATTTTCAATTTTAGTTAAAAAAAAATTTCAATCTCAATTCCATCCACTTAGCTATGCCACTAACGTCAGCATTTCATCTTCAGAATTTTAATTATGTCTAAGGGTTAAATTAACTGTTTATTAAGATCACAGTCACAGCCAAATAAACTTCAAAAAAAAAAAAAAATCCTTTTAGTCAACACATAAGAATCTTATTAAAACTTGAAAACAAAATTTTATAAAAACAAGTTATTGATAATTTGAGTTCTCATAATGAATAAATTTTCTATACTTTTTTTAAAAAATTAATTAAAATTGAAGTTGACGGTTAATATTAATTTTTTAAAAATTTATTAAATACTAGCAAAATAAGCTATCAATATAGAAAAACTCTAGACTAAAATCAACCTAAGTGTTTCAATTTCACTGGGAGTAAACAAAAATTTATTGAAATTGTTAAAATTAGAACCGGTACTTGAATTAAATCAAAATCAAATGAATCAATTTTAATTTCGAGCCTCAATTTTACCAACTTAAAAAAATCAATGGTTCAATGCTCTAATTTTAGAACATTTGGAGAAAAGAAAAAAAAAAAAAAAAAATAGTAGGTTATCATTTCACTGGGAGTAAAAAATAATTTATTGAAATTGGTTAAAATTAGAACCGGTTACGTTGAATTTTAATCAAAATACAATCATGGAATTTCAATCTTTAATTTCGCAGGCCTTCAACTGTGTACCGCATACTTAAAAAAGGAATGGTCAATATGGTTCAAGGCTCTAATTTTAAGAGAACATGTTGGAGGAAAAGAATTAAAAAAGAAGATAGAGAAAAAGAACGAATAAGAGGAAAGAGGAAATTAATGATTTTATCTGGCGCGAGTTGGGACAAATTGGCCGACAGAAACGTAAGACGAAGCGAAAAAGGTTCTGAGAAGGTTAAAGAAAAAAAAAAAAAAAAAAAACGAAAAGAGAAAGAGAAATTAATGTTTCTGGCGCGAGTGTGGACAAATTGGCCGACAGAAACGTAAGGACGAAGCGAAAAAGGTCTAGAAGGTTAAAGAGTGGGACCCACCTCAACTTTTTGAAAGTTTTTTTTACACGCAGTTTTGGTCAGAGTCAGACTGAGCTGTTTCAGTGTCACGCGGCCGTTTTCTTTTGAATTCAGCAACCTCTACCGCGACTCCACGTGTCCATTTCCTTAGCTTGAGAGCAGTCTACAGCGGCACAGTAGAATCAAGCTCATAGTCACGTGAAATCCACGTGATATCAACATCAATTTGACAATTTCCTTACCTAATGGAATGGGCATTGGATATCGCCTGTTCCTTCCTTGCGTGCTATTGCCGGCTTATAAGTTGCCTTTTCGTTGAATAGAATAGCCGCTAAAACCATAACATTAAAAACAATAACACACTTTTTAATTCAATAACTTATTTTTATATAAAATTTGACGATCAGTTGATCTTTAAAATGAAATAATCTTTTAACTAAAAAAAAAAAAAAATCAAGATCAAAAATGAAAATAATCATTATACTATTTTTGTTCTAATCTTTATTTTTATCATAAATGAAAATTCAAATATATTCAAAATTAAATAATTAATTAAAAAATTTTTGTATAATTAATGAAGATTTATCGCGTATAAAATATGCAAATTAATTATAATGTCTTAATCTATATTCTCCTACCTTTTAACTTTATGATTATAAAGCAAACATTTTGATTATCAGATTGGTATTTGAAACTAAACAAAAAAGGCTTTATACAATTTTGATTGCCATTGATAAAGCCACGTGCAACTCGTGTGTAGACTTGTTCTACAGCCATGCTTCAATTCCTTAGACCTCATTTTGCATTTCGTTGATTGGCCAAATAAAATGATTGAAATTAAATTATTGGGATAAATAAATAGTTATATATTACAAAATCAAAATTAGAAAATTTGCATTATAGAAGAAGAGCATAAGTAGGGTAAGATTTATGAACCACAAAAGCAAAGTTTGGTTTTGGTCAAAGTGATGAAAAAGTAAAGATTGAACATTCAGCAGAAATGTGCATTAATTTCTCGGTGTGAAGTAAATTTTAGACATTTAGAAAGGCAGTCATTTTCAGGGTAGTTTGATGTCTTTATTGCCATAGATTTTTCTTCATTTTGTGGGGAAATACAAATTTAACTTTTTCACGACACTTCACATGAGCTTCATGTTCCTCTTCTTCCATCAAATGCACTTTCCATGGTTTCTGCTTTCTTTCTTTTTCTTTTTCCAATTTACTGAATTTTCTTTCTTGAAATTTACATGTTTTCTTATTGAATTTACCTACTCGTAAAGGGAATTTATAATTTATAAAAAAACAAAGAAAAAAGGGTAACACAAATTGAAAAACTTTCTGAAGTGAAATTGAAATAAGGAAAAAGTAAAATATAAAGTATTGAAAATTTGTTGGAATGTTGCAGAAAAGAGAGCAAGATCAAGAATGCCTTGCCTTAGGGTTTTTGTTTACCTTTGTATAAATGTTTGTCTTTCTTGTCCAATGTCTACCCAACATAGACTTGCCAACTAAACTCCATTTTGAACATGAAATTCCAAGTGTAAACACGTTGAGGAATTTCAGGTGTGTAATTCTTAATTGTGGCTCAAATGTCAATCCATCATTTTCCAAATAATTTTGTTCAAATACCGACACAAGAGCTTCATAAACCATAACCATAATAATTAAGCTCTTCAATAATTGAGTACAAAATAATTAAGCAATCATCAACCATTTATGTACAATTTGCGGATGAATTTCAACCAGAACAAAGCATTTTCTGCATCAAATACATTGCCTAATGTAACGGATTTATCCTCAAGAATTTTAGGGTTTGTAATTATAATAATTAGGCACATCCCTTTTAACTGTGGAGTTCAGTTGGTGGAGCTCTTAGGTATTTGTCAAAAGGGCTGCAGTATTTTGGGGCCATGTTACGGTATTGTTTGAACTCTGGTTTCTCTAATTTCAGCCCAACTACACTCTGACTCATGTGATTATATTACAAGGCCTTTGGATTGGGCTCAATCAGAATTCCTAATCTTCTGAAATTTAGGTCTTGGACTTGGGATTGTGAATATTTCCTTTTATTTCATCTTAACTTTTTTTTTTTTTTTTTTTTTTCAAAAGGGGGGCGTGCGAGGTATTTGGGGCCGATGTTACGGGTATTGTTTTGAACTCTGGTATGCTCTAATTTCAGCCAACTTACACTCTGAACTCATGTGATTATATTACAAGCCTTTTGGATTGGGCTAAAGTCAAGAATTCCTAATCGTTCGGTGAAATTTTAGGGTCTGGTGGACTGTTGGGATTTGTGAAAATATTTTCCAGTTATTTCATTGCTTAACTTTTTTTTTTTTTTTTTTCTTAGGCATATTGGAAAAAATCAATTATTTGATAGTTGTTACTTGTATGAATAAGCATTAGCTATTAGCTGTTTTTGAGGATAGCTTTAAAAAACGGGGGTGAACCAAGACTATAACCTTTCATCATGATGAAAGTTTTTTTTTTTTTTTTTTTTTTCTTTTAGGGCATATTGGAAAAAATCAATTATTTTGATAGTTGTTAATTGTATTAATAGCATTTAGCTATAGCTGTTTGAGTAGCTTTATATAAAACGGTAACAACTAAACATTATCTGGATAATTTTTTTATAGAATACTACCTTAACCTCTAAAAGCTATTTCAAACGCAATATTAACGAACACTATAAAAAATTTGAACAGCAGAATATATAAGTTTTTGACCTTTCAATAAGTAAATTTTTTCACTTTTTTACCTCACTCGTTCTTCCCCTTTCCCTTTAATCACACTATATTGTACTCATGCACAACTTTAAAATGACTTGCTCAGTGTCAATATTATGGTAATGAAAATAATACATTTTGCACTTATAGATTACAAACAAGTACTAACTATACTATTTGCAAAAAGCATGCTCAATTAAAATAAAAGGGATTAAAATTAAAGAAGAAAAGAAGAAAAATGTATTTCAACTTAATTTTCATTGAAAAAGGAAAATAGTATCAGTTTTGGTAGGTTTTACTCGTTTTTAGTGCATGTGGATTTGAATTTGACTCGTCCGAAAACAAACAACCAAATATTGCCGCGTTTGTTTTTGTTGAGAAAGTAGTTTGGAGTTCTTTGAAGATGGACAATGTTGTGTTCCAACTAACCTTTTCAATGTCATGAGGGAACTTCATTAAAGTTTCATGGGACCAACAAGACACATAGACAACCAGATGTTAATTCACACACTTTTGCAGTTACTTGTTCTTGTTATGGCACTGCTACTTGACACGTTGTTGGGTCATTTTTCATGACAGATTCTCGAATCTATTTATGTTCATATATCTTACGAATTTAATTTGGTGACATTTCAATGTCGTATGGAATTGGGAACTTATACCGTTTTTAATATTCCATGTTTCCCGCTGGTTTGGAATTGGACTCTGTTTTAACAGTTTGAATGGAGGAAAGTAAATCCCAAGTTGAAGAGTATCGAAGTCTCATTTGGTACTTTGAGTGAAAGAAATTGCTGTACATCTACCATTTCTATTTATCATGCTAACATTATTTTCCTTTATATGGTGCCATGACAGTCTAATTGCTTTCTGGGAGTTTCTTTTAACGAATAAAGATAATATTAGGATTAGTTTTATGTACTATAGATTCACAAATGAATTTTCTAGTGCTTCATTTTATTTTAGTCTTTCTGAAAGTAATCTCTTTTCTTTTTTTTTTTTTCTTTTGATTATAGCTTGGAGGTGTAATTCCCTTAAGAATAACTTTTTTAACAAATCTGCTTTGTTGGAAGCAAAACTGTGTTCTCAACAGGTCTTCCATATTTTTTATAGTGTTTTTATTTTTATTTTTTATTTTTGTGAAATTAATCACATCTGGCTTCAAAATGTAATGTTGTAGTGAAGTGATATTATAAATAAATAATTATTTTTGTATTCATTTATTTTATCTTATCTGGTAAAGATAAATTGCAAGTGAACAAGGGATTAAAAAAAAAAAAAGAAAAAAAAATCATTTTATGATAAGCAGAGTCGAGGTAAGTTTTGAGATAAAAATGGTCAAAGAAGCTAATTAGTGCCAAAGAAACCTGACCGACTCGGGAAAGTGATTAATAGGTTATGTGCTGAAACGCCCAAAGGTTCGTCTTTAAGACGTGAAAGCAAAAGGACAGAAAGTTGGATAAACCCATTTTACGTATTTCACGCGGAATAGCAATGTAGTATTTGATTGAACATCTTTGGATTGATCAGTCTTTCAATAATCTAAGACAGTAAATTACAAGCACACGAGATGCATGACCCACAGATTACAAATCTCCCTCTCGGCTCTCTGAATGCTCATGCCAAGCAATGATGAGATATTGAATGACCATTGCCGAAAAGAGGGAAAAGGATAAAAATACATGAATAAAGGAAGACGAGCCAATGTGGCTGTTAGATGAAATTAGAGACAAACTACTAATAACTTTTTTTACAAACTAAAATACTTGAATATGAAAATTTTTACAAATTAAAGTAAAAATTTAGATGCCATACTACATATAAAAAAAATAATCAATAACTAAAAAATAGGAATGGCAGGCAGTCTAAGTAGACCTTTTAATGACAATACCCGCACCGCAAATTAAATATATTCTATCCCCATGACTCGCTCGCTCCACATCGAATTTGGTTAAAACACTTTTAATAAACATAAATTTAAAAGAGCAAATTAAAAGGAGAGTTATAGGGCATATCGAATTTTATGTTTAAAACTCATTCCCACCCTCAATAGGAAGCAGATTTTATCCGCCCCACCAGATCAGGTCCAACGGAGCAGGTGACTTCGTCATCCTTACTTGTAAATTATAATAAAAATCCGACACATTATATATTATATACACACAGACAACCACCTCAACTGCCTTACAAAAAAAATACAAAAATTTATCTTATCTTCCTTTTCTGCCAGCTTCAAAAAATTAACCCTTCACAAAACTAGCTCCTCAAGGACACATGCCACCAATACCTAAGCACACTGCTCTATACAGCCAAAATATTGGAACACCAGATAGAATAAAAGGGGGGAAATCTAAGAAAAAAGCTTAAGCTTAAGCTTCGAACAACCTTAAAACAAAGAACCTGTAAGTCGTATACACATCCACAAGGTTGCTTCAAGTTTGGGCATCTTTAACTAGAATATGGAGTCCAAATACCTCTCATAATGTTTCCTGTTAAACTCTAACAAGCTACCGTAAGTACGGTCAGCGACCCCAACAAAGAGGGCTTCTGTATCTGGGCTAAAGGATATGCCGGCAATTTCCCCAAATAGGTCGATCTCCTGGCACTTGACATACCCAGATTCTGTATCAAAGATGTGAACAAAGTCTGCAGGTTCCGCCATAGCCAAGAACTGGCCATCTGAAGTAAACCTTAGTGCTCTAATTGCACCCATGTTTCCTTTCAACACAGCCAGGGACTTGGATGTATTCCTAATGTCCCATAGCCTACATGTAGTATCTTGATTCCCTGTAGCCAAAATTTGTCCATTAGGGTGCCAAGCCGATGCAAAAGAATAATCCAAATGTCCCTTCAGGCTACCAGTTATCTTCCCAGAATGAGCATCGGCCATTAAGCACTCTGTACTGTCACCAAGGACAGCAAGTAATTTACCATCTGGGCTGGCGGAGGTGTTCTGAGAAGAATAATTTAACCACCAATATAAGTGTGCAGAATTGCAAATATATGACAAACATAAATTCATAGTCAATTCGCAAGAACTGTTCATTACAGAGAGCACTCACATTCACAGACCAATCAAAGGAGAGACGATTTAGGCAAGCAAAACTTTCGGCATCAAAAACTCTAACAAGGGTATCATTGTTCGCAGTCAAAATCCTCACTGAGCCACTGCAGAAGTAGAAAGTTTAATTGTCTGTCTTAAAGAAGAGATGAATGATTTCACAGTTTATTATCTGAATAGACCTCTTACCTTTGGTTATGGTAAATGTCCACTGCATTTGTAATAGCATTTTCACCTGTTGTTACTTTCGTGCAGAATTGAACTCCAGGTTGATTCAAATGCTGATCAAGTATGATACTATATTAGAAAACGAGAACAATAAAACATTCAATATTCATTAACGCGGGCATACATCTAGCCACCAAGATACCTTGCAAATAAGCTCTCCTTGAAAACCTCCTGCAACTATTAAGTCCTCTTTGACAGCCATAGTACTTATTTGCACTCTGGATAGTGGCTGAGACAACAACCCCGGGCATTTCTGCATTCAGGATAAAAATATAATTTTTTTCAGAAAAGAAACAAGTGCAATATCAAACAATGAAGATCATGCTCAGTGATGAGACCAAAGATTCATACCAGGGTTGGAACAATTGGTTTAGCCACATTGAGGACTTCTTTGCCTCTACGCAGCAATGACGACCAATGCATAACTGAGTAATTTTGCATGAGGTACACATCATGCTTGGATGTTGCCCATAGCAGATTCCTCAACTGAAAAGTGCAAGTAAAACCATATGGGCAAGAACATTAATAACTAATTCAACAGCCTAAACAACATACTCAAAAGTTAAAATTTATACATCACTCAGAAGAAATCATCTAAACACCAAGAGATAAAGTATCAAACTTCCAAATGAAGATAAAAGGTCCCTAAAAATTAGGAGATGCAATTGAGACCGTCCCTTTCAACAGGAAAGGGAAAGTGGGAAACGGACAAAACTAAAAAAAAAAAATAAAAAAAGAAAAAAAAAAACAAAAAACACAATCTCCATGCACTATTAGAAAATATTAAGGCATTAGATGCATCCCAAACAATAGAACTAAAAGTATCTCTCCATATTAATACCCTAAAAAAAGAATTAGAAGCGACATTTTCCTTCCATTCACAAATTTTCTCAAGAGATGGGCTAGTCAAAAACTTAATTATCAGCATCCTACTGTCGAAATTAAGTTTTCATCGTGAGTTCCAGACATGACAAATGCACTCAAAAAAAGATTAAAAGAACAAACTGGAAAATAACAATCATTAAAGGTTGGATGACCAACATGATGACATGAACTAATAAATCAACAGAAAAGGAAAGCAAATCCATAAAATTAAACATGGAAAAGAACACAATCAGAACAGCTGTAGATGCATATGATGGATCAGCAGCATGTGGTAATGCATAATTTGTGTTAAACGCCTCTTGAGAATGACAAATTGATTGGGATAGAGGCGTCATAAATGCTCAGATATTTTCCTACCATACCATATAAAAAACGCATCCTTAATTGCGCCTGCTTCTCAGACATTACTTCCACCCTGCTTAAACGGCTGAAATAAAGAGCAATAGCAATCCTAAATGCCATAGATGGGTTAAAGCCATATAATAGATTCAACATTTAATTGAAAGAATATACAGCCAAATTGACATCACATGCACAAAGATAAATAACAAGCCAGTAGACTGCAGCTTCACTTTCTGATGTTACATCCAAACATACATCAGGATTAGTAGTTCATAGTGAACGATGCAAAAACAATTAAACATGCATGAGATGACAGTATATTTGTCAATTATATTTTAGCTAAACACCATGATTTTATATTTTTTTAGTCTCCATATAACATTTAACTTTAGCTTGATCTCTGAAAATCATCTCAAAGCTTCATGCATATAGAACTCAACAAGTCTCTACAAACAGTTTGTCTGTGGGCATGTTATACGTGCTCTAGTACACACACACGACACACACACACACACACACACACATCTGTGGTTTAACAAAAGTCTCTTGACAAATACTTTAAAATTCCTAGTTACTTCTTAAAAACCAGATTGCAAAATCAGAAATTTCACTCATATCATGGTTGTCATGTATCAATATCTGTAACTTGGAATCAGATATGCTGTCATAAGAACCTATTTGCTAAATATTTAGGATATTGCTCTATAACATTAATAATTCAATTTGAGAAAATGTTAACCGTGCATATAAAGAATTCTTCCAAATCTGCATGAAAATGATTTAGTAAACACAACCCCCACTTTGTGCGGTTAAGTTGAGAACGCCATAAAATTTCAAGGAATGAAAAGTGAAGTAGAAGTCGAAAAGCCAAAAGTCTGTCAAGAGTTAAGAAGTTTAATGATAAACGAAGTCAATCCCCAAGAAATATGTGTTCACGTCTGGAAAGATTTAATTCAGCAGCTTGCAGGACTGAAGAAATTTGTATAATGGCCTCACCAGACCATAATTTAATCTGGAAAACTTAAGTCAGTTGTTCATATATTAAATCTATTTCAGATAATTTAAACGTATAATAAGAAATCAATTTTAGACATCATACCTTCAATAAGTTCAGCACAGAGCTAGAATCACATATAAAGATATCCATAAATGGATTATAACAAAATTACAAGACCTGCAAAACTAAAGACTAATAATATGTGCGTAATAGGAGTTCAAACAATATGTTAGAGAAAATCAGAAAAACGATATGTGGCAGTAGGACTCAGACTGCTAAGCAACGCTTTGTAGTTTCTTACAAAGAAAGCGTTTAGCATGGTTCCGACACGTAATCTAATTCAGCTTCTATTGGACAACAGATCTACGTGTATGAAGGGCTTTTGCAACAAGAATATATATTTCTCATGCTAAGGCATTCAATTAGCTTCCAGTAAACCCGAGATTTATGGTGCGTCTCATGCATGAAAAGAGTACAGTAAAATTGACACAAGTACAGACCAAAAAAAGAGGAAAGAATAATAGCAATAAGAGAGAGAGAGAGAGAGAGAGAGAGAGAGAGAGCTAGGAGAGGGAATTCTGCTGAAAATAGATTTTCAGAGCCAAGAAGATAATTGAAAATTTGAACGTAAAAACAACAGAGATCAAGTGACTGTAAATGGATGCAAAAAAATTTTTTGAGGATGATAATTGAAACCATTCAAAGAAATCTTGTCGAAGAGGCATAAGTCTCTACCTGAAAATGCACAATTGTGGATTTGACAATCCTTGTGTTGAACTGGAAATCGTAAAAGGTCTTTCCCTTCTCTACTTGTAAGCACTCCTATCAACAGAATATATATTTAGCGATAATTCCACGGGACAGAAAATCTCCAAACATAAAGTGAAAGTAAAATCTCTGGAACAAGGCAACTCAAGCATTTTAGACTAGATATCGTATAGCTGAAACTTCAATTAAACTATAACAACTCAAAAGCTAACCTTGTCGAGCTCCTCGCGAGAAAGGGAGAGGCTCTCATAGTTCTTATACTGCTTTAATCTAGTCTCGCGGTACTTATCTCTAGTAAAATTAAGCCTCTCCCAAGGAATTCCTTGTATATCCTTCCCATTTCTAGCCTCAAATGCTGAGGTATCGTTCTTTGACTTGTTCTGAAACCCAAAAAACATTATCATTAACAACTATTATCCGATAACAATGAACGAACGAATCTGTCATTGTAACAGTACGATAATATACCAATTCGAAATCGTCTTCGAAATCCGAGTCTACTGAATCCAAATCAGCATCTCTTTGGACTTCTGGTTCGCCGAAAGGATTATCTTCAAAATCAACAACGTCATAATAATCATCGCCGACATATTCGAGGTCATCGTTGTGGAAATGAGCCATCATCCTACAATTACAATCGGAACGAATTCTTTAAAGAAAAGATTTGAACCGTTAACTAACCGGGAAAACTTCAAAATTAACCGCGAAAAAAAATCAACCGCAAATTCTGTTCCTAATATGTAAATGTAAATAACCTACCTTCGAATTTTGGTAGATGGATAGATCTCAAACAGAGGAAAAGCTTTGGAGAAAAAAAAAAAAAAAAAAGCTAAAAACAAAAGAAAAAAACGCAACAGCAATGAAATATAAGAACACGGAAAATGAAATCAATTTTCCGACGGTTTGCCGAGAAACAAACAGAGATCAAGCAGGTTAGAAAGTTTCGTGAAGAGAGAATTAAGAGGAGTTGATTATGGTTAAGAGTGAAAAAGAGAGAGCAGTTAGTTTAATTATTTGAATTAGAGAATCCGTCAAGAGAAGTATCTGGAGCAATGTTTGCCAAAAGGGCAAAGGAGGTCGCCTGCTGGTGTCGTACTTATAATGAATGGTGAGGGCTGGAAAGAGGTGGGACTATGTCAGTGCGTGACTATGGGACCCACTAGTGGAGCCCATAACTAACCGTGGATTAAAAAGATAGACGGAATCGTTGGGCTTAACAAAGAAACCATGTGGGCTCCACGAAACGCGCTTTTTTAACGGAGTTGCTATTTTTAACTCCGCTGCTTGGGATATACAAAATGAGTAATATAATTATTAAATTGATCCCTTGAGTTGAGAATAAGAAGAGATTCAATTTTTTCTATAAAAAGAAAAAAAAAACTGAAGAAGTTAAAAAACATATTATAATTTACAGATTAAAAGAAACGTGTGTGTATATATAGATCCCTTGAGTGCGTGAATAAAAAGAGATTCAATTTTTCCTCTTCAAAAAAGAAAAAAAACTTCGAAGAACTTTAAAAACATATTATAATGTTACAGATTTAAATAACGTGGTGGTGCATCTCTATGTACCTATATATACATTATATTATATATCTATATATACTACCTGTATATATAGTATATAGTACTATAGGCTTTTAATATATAACTGTACAAACATGCGTTTAAATTTTTTACCTATTTAAAACAGCACTCTGCTTTATTTATAGGCGAAGTACAATATATATTTGCGAAAAAAGATGCTAATTTATTCTCTCTTTCAAACATTATATTCAAAACAAATAATTAACTCCGAATATTATTAAATGTATCTTAAAAGATATCTAGGTTAGTCTTTTCAAGACAAAAAATTACTCTACGAGTAAAATTATTTTTAACTCAATCGTTAAGTATCATACAAGTACTTTTAAATTTGTTTGCAATACATATGAAACTGAAAGTTAATTATTCATTTTTGGTATAATATTATATGATACCATTTTACTATCTTGGCTCAGTATAAATGTTACAAACATGTTAAAGTTTTTACTTTAAACAGCACTCTGCTTTATTTTTAGGCAAGTACATATATAATTTGGAAAAAAATCTAAATTTATTTCTCTCTTTCAAAACATATATTCAAACAAATAATAACTCCGAATATATAAATGTATCTTAAAAGATATCTAGGTAAATCTCTTCAAAAAAAAAATATCTAGGTAAATTATTTTAATTAATGTATCATACAAGTCTTTAAATTTGTTTGCAATAAACTATGAAACTTAAATTAATTATCATTTTGGTAAATATTATATGATATATTTTTATCTTGCAGAGATATTATGATATAATCATATTGTTACAGTTGTGGATTTATAAATCTAACACCTCAATTATTTGAATTAGGCTTATTAGTGAACACTAGAGGTAAAAGACAGCCATTTGACAATGCAAATTTAAAAACTAAGAAATTGAGATTATTATTTAATCCAGCTAAATAAAATAAATTAAATAAATTAAAATAATTTATCATAATAGTTGAAGCGCATTAAATTTTATATGATAAAAAAAGATGAGACGACACGTTTTATAAAAAAAAAAATAAAACAGAGTAAATTACATAGACATCGGGCCAATTAATGCGTCTAAAAATGCTATGAGTTACATCTTATTCCTTTCGAGAAAGACATGATAATCGACCGGAGGAATGAATGAGATGTAGTAGGTTCTAAAAAACCGTTTGGTTGACTCCGGCACTATTTGACTCGTGCAGTATCTTTAACTCACAGTAAAAAAACATTAAAGAGGAATTGACAGCTAGCAGTTACCATCGCGTTTTAAATAAAAAAATAAAAAGTGGGGCCGGAAGCTGCTTCCTAGTCCACTATCCGCTATATGGTGTGTCCACGTGGTTGGCTGTCATGTCAATTTCTGACCGCTTGGCAATCCCGCTTCCACCACGTGGCCTGCGGCAGCCGATAGCTTCTTTCATCGTGCCTCTGTTTCCTTACTCGTCAACCTGATGGTCAATTAATTTAACGTCCGTCGTCTTGCTTTTAAGAGACGTTAGTTTAACCGCGGTTAGCTTAGTCTGGTTAGTGTGCTTTGGTTGGTAGAAGGTTATCGTCCACCACCGCCTTGCGGTGTTCATGCATTTTTGTATTTGGTCGGTAATTGAGGGCCCACGTGCTCATAGTAGCCCACCGGCCCCATCGTAGGGCTAAGTTTCGTATAAACTGTCTGTTTTCGAATTTAGGATGGGTCCGTTACCAGGACGGAACCTCATGGTCCAATTGACAACGCTTGGTTTGCAATTTGGATAATCACTTCTCCACCTTTTTCTTTTTAAAAAATAAATATACAAATTTGATTTTAATGTTAAGAGTTAAAATTTAAGCATGAGCAAGCATCGGTTTGAAGAGAAAATCAAAAATCAAATCAATTTGAATCAATTTGATTTATTTTGATGGAATCTAAATAGTTATTTAAAAATATTATTAATAGTCGATTTAGATATATAAAGCTATTGAATTTATATTTTAGATGTATAATTATAAATTAATTTTTAAACTCAAATAATTCATTCGGTTTGAAATAACTAGATACAAATTGATTCAACTTGATTTTAAGATGTTTGTTATAATACTTCCTCCGTCTCGTTTTATTTGCATATTTAATAAAACATGCATACTAAAATTTAACCAATAAAAATTATTTTTTCATTCTTTTCCCCTTTACTAATTAAGATATTAATAAAAGTAATAATAAATAATCATAAAGATTATTATGGAAAAATAATTATTTAAATATATAAAATTAGTGACCTTATAAACATTTTGAACTTTCTAAAAAGAATTGACAAGCAAACAAAATTGAACGGTCAAATTAAGCGCCGTAAAAATATGTTCAGTTAAACCAAAATCAACATAGTTAAATTTGATTAACTGGAAATACACATCTAATTAAATAACGAGTAAATTTATTTTTCTGACTAAATTAACTCATCAATTCATATAGTGCATTTGCTTAAATAAATGAATACTTGAACCCCATTGAACATGTGGTTTATGTGAGAGCAGTTGAGCTGCATTACTTGACCCAGCAACTAATTAATTTTAAAGAGACAAATCACTGCAAATTTTATATTCATAAACCAAGTTTTCTAGAGATTTCAGTTTATTAATTATTCAGTAAGCTAACTATATAAAAGCTTAAATGATATTGATATTTATGTCCAAGCAGGAAAAAAAAAATAGAAAGAGACAAAATTCCACTCTGTAAAGATAAAGAAGGGTTTTAATTGGTGAAAAAACATTCATGAATTTCTGATTACACGAATTTTAAAATAAAATTAATTTTATATCTAAAATTATATAAGAATATTCGTCGTAGAATCTTAAAAAATAAAAATAAATAAATAAGCGCAATAAAATAAATTATACAGGAATCCACATTGTGACATTGTCTATGTCAAAAGGATTATAAAATTATAATTAAAAAGAAAAAAAAAAAAAGGAAAAAAGGCTGGTTCCGCACAAGAGCCACTGCTTTTGTTTTATTATTTGGGAATTAGATCATGGCTATTCCATTTGCCCTCCAACAAATGCTAATAGAGTCGTGTGGAACATGCGCCAAAAATAATTAATGATTTATAGGATTAAATCAAATTAATAATTTAACGTTAGTGCTTTAATTTATACATAAAGAAAACATGCACTAATTATTAATTCAATACGAAATTTAATTTTTCAAATATTATTTAACAATTGAAAGCTAATCTTCTAACTTCCAAGTTCAATCTTATAATTGGGGTTAAAGTGAGTAAAGGTCTCATAATAAATTATTTTTTTAGTAGAAATGTTTGGTTTCTACTAAAATTATAGATTCTTCATTTTTCATTAAGCAGCAATGCATGGGAATCTGAAAAAAGAACAAAACGACAATCATATTATCCATTCCAGCCTGTAAAGACCTAT